TCATGAGAAACAGCCCCAATATTCTCAAAATTGGGGCATCCCTTCCATCTGCCTAATAGTTTGCTTATATTCAAACCGGTTCTGGAATAACATTAAGCAATTGGGTCAACCGGATCAATTAGTGAGGAAATATATGATCAATACCGCCCAAACCAATGAGGAATCACAGGAGAACAAGCAGACTCCAGGGTGACCTGAGAGGTCGAAGAGAAGGAGACTGAACAAGGAGCGATTTTCCTCCTCCAGACAGTCGTGCTATTTATGTTGATAGCATGTGATTAGCAGCATTTTATCATTGTTGCATTTTTTTTCTTTTCAAAAAGCTGTCATGTAAAAATGTAGTTACAACTGGATGCCAGTGTGTGGCAGCATTGAGGATCTGTGATCATTATGGCTGAGTTTGACTGTACAGTGCTAAGACAGGATGCTGTGGAAAAGAAAAACAAGAAAACACGCCTTCTTTCAATATGAACCCACATTTCCTCTCCTGTCTGACACAATAAACATCTTTAGGTTCAAGACTTAATGTCTGAACAAAACCTGCCAAGAAAAGCAAGTTAGGAGGCCTATATACATATCTATTTACATCTGTGAAAATAAAATCTGAAGTAACTTTACATCAGGCAACGTAGAGTTGGATCACCTTTAGTTTGATTGTGTGCCACCATTTTTTATTTGTTTTTCAGTCACAGAACTAAACACCTTCCTGTGTCAGAAATGAGCTGTTGATGTTTAAAAACATTTAAGGTCATGAAGACATTAAAGCAAGACTCTAATGTTGACCTATAACTGTTAAAATCTGTCAGGTCTCCCTGGGATAGCAAAACTATTTTATTAGCAGCTTTGCTAAGCTTTATCTGCAACCAAGTAAAGATGTACTGTTAGCTAGATCTACGTTCTACTATGATCTTATTGTGTGCTGAACATAACATGAGGCCCAACAACAGAGAACATAATGTCATTTCTGGCAGCTGTAGCTAACTCACCGTTAACTTAAATTTGGAAAGGGGTCTGGCTGCAGAGCTGCACTGTCAGGACCCAGGGCTGTACTGGCGGGACCCAGAGCCGCACTGGCGGG